AAGTTGCAGGACAGATGAAAATTGTTTCTATCGGACGGCAGGGATTATAACAGAGTTTCAGAATACTTGCCACTTAATCACATTGCTATGTTGACACGTCTGTGTCGAAAAACAAAATACAGTCTGTGGAGATAACCATTTCTCTCAGTCGCACTATGTTTGAAGAACGAATTGTCCCCACTTCCGTCTATGAACTTCGCACCGAGTGGTATCCTTATGATATGTCTTATTGTTTTCAGTGATGCATCTACGAGTCGGTACAAATCATATAACTTTTAAAATACTAAGCTGAATGCACGGTGATTGGTTCAGATGTAGGCCAGTGGTTAGACAGCGGATAATTAGTCGCCGTCTTACACACACGCAGATCGATAGGTGTTATGTATTCAAACTGACGATGTCAGATTGACGGTTAGGTTGACTTCTGTTCGGCCAGGGCAGACTTAGCGCTTGAACAAACTTCTTTTGTAAGTATAGTGGAAGTTGAAATATTCGGATCGCAGTAGGCTCTGATGTGGCAAGCATTCGTAGACGCAGACCTTTTGAATTGTTCAAGGGGACCTGGTAAATCACAGTAAATGCAATCGGAAGGTTAACGCTGTGACCTGATTCGAATAGGTGGGAGAGGATTCCGCTTGCCGAAACTCCAGTGCCTCCATTCGTCAACCATTTAGGACTATGTTCCTTAATGCGATGTGACAACTGGCGAGCTGTTCGACCTATGTATATTACACCACAGGTGCACTCAAATCGATAGATAATGTAAGAGGAGGTCAGCTTCGATGGTCTGTCCTTATTGCACACGGGAATAAGCGGTTTGGTGACAAATATACACCGCAGTTGCGCAGATGGGAATGTGTTCCTTACTGATTACGTCAGTTTTCTTGTTATAAGCTCCGCAATTTTATCGTCATTGAAACCAAGGCAAATGAAGAGCTTTTCTCAGTTACTTGCTAAACGTCCGATGTTATGTTGAGCTGCATCTTGCGTTGTATAAATCTATCCGGATAACCATTTTATGTAGCGTGTTCTGTATGGATTTCAGTTCATCATCTAGATCATCTTCAGAACAGATCTTTCGAGCCCTCGACATGAGACGACGCACTAAGTTGCGCTTGTATTTAAGCGGCACGAAACTACTGAAATTTGCATATTGGCCGGTCTACGTTTTCTTTCTGTTGATCCTCCTTAATAGACAATTGTCAGTTCGCCTACTCAGATATATATCCAAAATGGAGAACTGACCCACTTGTTCAAATTCGTATGTGAAGTTGATTGCCGGGTGCACATTATTGAACTCCACCACTATATCTTCTACACTTAAATCCTTATTGGTCACACAAAAGATATCGTTCATATAGCGATAGTACTGGTCGAAACGATCTATGAGTGGACTCAATGATTCATTTTCTAGTTTGGCAAGAAAAATATCTACCAGCACTGGTCCGAGTTGAGACCCCGTTACGACTCCGTCATTCTGCCGGTAATAGATGCCGTTGTAAAGGAATTGGACATTATAAGTGCATCTCAACAGTAGTTCCTTCAGGCTTGGTAAGGGTAAATCTAAATGAATCTCGTTGGGCACATAGTTGCATAAATATTCTATAGTTTCTGGAAGCGACACATTCGCGAATAGTGAAGTTACGTCGAGTGAGAACATTTTTTCCTCTTGTATGTTTCCATATTTAATGATGTGCTGTACGAGTGTAAAACTATCACGCACACTATATCGAGCGATTTGCTTTCTTATGGGTTCCAACAATTCCTTTACAACGGCCCTTTATTGGCGACATTTGGAAAAAGGGCTGCTTTTGGAGTGGGGGTTATTCACCGCTCCTGTGGAGCCTTAACATTCAATATATTTGCAAATTTATTCTCTCGGCTTCTTTTCTGCCTTACTTTGAATGCCACATTTACTCATGCTCACCACAACAATGTGTGGCAAGATGAAGCTGGAAAATATTCTGCGTGTTGTCACTGTGTTAATGCAATATGTGCTTCGACAAATATAACCAGAAAGTCCACTTATCTTTGGCGTGTACAATCGTAGGATTTGAATACTGGTTCGAAGCAGCGAGTAGAGTTTTCTCTGTGTCGCTGCATCATTCGTCGCTCTTGGACATTTACTCCTTATTTATCGTTCCGCTCTCTATATTTTGCCTCTGCAAAGTGTTTGTCTAGGAGTTTCTTAAATTCGGACACCGAGTTCGCCTCTACTATGTGCTGCGGCAGGTCGTTCCAGACATTCACCACTCTACGTTCGAAACAGAGTTGGTGGGCGACCCGCTTCAAATCCGGTACAACAAGCTTATACCGGTGTCCTTGCGTGTAGGTTGGTGTGCGCAGATGAAGCACTTGTCTCAACATGTGATAATCACTCAGATGTAATATCCGGTGTGTCATGATGAGGTCAACCCTCAGCCGACGAAAACCTAGGGTGTACAGCCCTAGTTTCTTACATTGGTCTTCGTATGGCATACCTCGTAAGTTGGGAATCAGCCTGGCGGCTACATGCTGCACCCGCTCAAGCTTTTTCTACCTCCGCCCCGGGTGATGGGCACAGATACGCGGGAGTTAGCCATACTCTAGCCACTAGGTCGTATTATCGAGACGAAAGAGGCGAGTGCAATCTCTTCGGATCCAAGTACTGTAAGCTGCGTCCTGAGGCGCCCAAAGCATACGAAGGCTGATTTGGTACAGCCTATTCGTGTTGTCAAATGACTTTAGGTCGCAGCGTGAGAGCACACCGAGGTCGCGCACGAAAGACGCGGGATGCAAACGGTGACCAGCTACTGTGTACGTTCGGCTGTGCTCACACTTACCAAGCCTCATAAACTGCGACTTGACTGGGTTGCTCGGAAGGATTAACTTCTGCAGACCATGTCGAGAGGTGGTCAAGGTCCTGCTGAAGTAAATCACAATCATTGAGTGTGCGGATTACTTTCCACACCTTCAAGTCATCTGCGAACAACGGACAAGGTGATTGGAGTAGCTGAGGCACATAGTTTACACGGATCAGAAACAATATCGGTTCCAGTACAGTGCCTTGGGGCACGCCGCTGCTCGATGGATACCAGTCAGTTAGATGGTTGTCCACCTGGACTCTCCACTTTCGATCAACAAGGAAATTTCTGATCCACTTGTGCAGCGAATCACCAACACCGCACATTCTCAGCCTGTCAAGGAGCACTGCATGGTTAACCTTGTCAAAAGCCTTACTGAAGTCAATGTAAATGACGTCGACTGATTTGCCTTGGTTCAGCGCTTGTAACCATTGATGCCTCGTCAACAGTAAATTGGTGATGCACGAGCGACCTTTCATGAAACCATGCTGTGCGGAGGTCAACAGGTTTTTCGACTCGAGAAGCTGCAGAAGGCTCTTCTTCACGATCTTCTCGAGCGTCTTTACCAAAACAGCAGTCAGGCGGATCGGCCGGTAGTTATCCACTTTGCTTGGGTTACCACCTTTCGGTATGGGCTTTACGACTGAGCATTTCCAGTCGTCCGGTAACAGTCCAGTGGATAGTGACCTGTTAAACAGTTCAGTTACAGAAGGCGCGATGATGGCCGATAGGGACTTGAGGATCAGTGGCTTGGTTCTCACTTACCTTGCTTTAACGAGAAAGATCGTCCCGGACTTGTCTTGGCTATTCAGTTCCACTACTTGGCAGTGTCACTGTGGTGCCCCGTTGAAGCAACGAAGGCCGTGCTCTGACAGGGTAGGCTAATGATTTGTTTGTCATGCAGTTACTGAATACTTAAACTTACTTTTAGAACATGTAGTTAGGGATATATGGATGATCGATTTACTTCTCAGCAAGATGCTCTTTAGTGGCAATACTAAGACTTTCCTTGCTTCCAACCAACTTTTCTCTTCAGCTTCCACACACTGCTTAATTCCGCTCGTTCTTTGTCGTCGCCACCATTTCATTAAAGTTCCCCTTTTTATCTTCTGCGGTTAGATTTTCCTCATTCTTACTTTACGTAGATTGCAAGATACATGAGCAGTAGTTGGTTGATCAGATTTTGATGCTGTTTTAGGTTCATCGATGTTTCCAACGGCCTTTCCAACTCCTGGTTCAACTACCTGCAGGAAAAGGAACACTTACGGGATTATCTTATTGTTCCAGTCCCAAGTGCATTCAAACTTGAACATTTGTCACACTACTTGCTAATTGCCGGCAATGCCGATCATCGCTGGCTTGCAGAACTACTACCACGTACTGCCATCTGGGCATGCTACTGTTGTATTAATTTTCCTTTATGTATTACGGCACAGTAGCTGAGGTGTTTCCAACCTCTAGCTGACGTGCATAATGCTGATGAATGATGACTGCCAGCTGGATGCTTCGGTTTTACCCCGCCCCAGCAATTAGCTCGGCAGCATTGTTCCAGGATGTATTGTGATTTCGCCTGGCAAGCCTTCTCACTATAAAATCCATAACTCTTTTTTTACCAACACTTCGACTTGGCGGACGTGACTCACCACTAACCAAAGTCACTGCCTTTTGCATCACCTGGGTAAAGCATTGTAACCAGGTATGTAAGTCGGTCTCTGGCTCCCAGTAGGCGCGATTCCCTAAGTTCACTTCCTCGCCGACAGGCTATTCAGCCCAAGGCCCTGAAGGCTTCCCGTAAGTCAATTCCCTTCTCCATCTTGCGCAACCAGGTGTGAACACACCCTCCGACAAGATCACGGATTTTTCAATGTTGTGTTCGGTTTCCCTTACTATCCCTGTATCTTCATTTCCTTTATATGGTTATGGCCATGTATATTTATTTGACTGCTATATATATATATATATATATATATATATATATATATATATATATATATATATATATATATATATATATATATATATATATATATATATATATATGCAAAGCCATAAGATTTAACTTCATTTACCGCAAAACTTCGAAATACCGCAGTTCCCTTTTATTCTGCAGCAACCGACGGCCGATTTACCTGCTCAACCGATTGTACGCCACACGTGATGGCAAAGGAACTTGTAGATTCAGGCTTATATATAGACGAGCTGAACAAGCTCCGAATACTTGACCCATCTGTAGCTCAAGATACTAGCGAACTCAAACAGGAATGTGAAAACTATCTTTGCAGTGAGTTCACAATTGATTTCCACATATGTACGGCACAACAGAGCAAACTTTATCTCACATATTGTGACTTTCTCTTTCCAGACCAGTACCATGCTTCTTTGTGCCACTTTTGTATCCCAAATCAGCACAATCTATTAGGGGTCTTGTACGTGCATCTCCAAACGAATTCCTGAACTCCAACGGCTAACATCGTTATTACACTTGCGGTAGACAAACAGCTGTAAACTCCATTATATATGCAAGATAAATTTGTGTCACCTTTCTTGAACATTCACCCTCCCTGGGCGCATTAAGCAATATCTTGACAATAAAATGTGCACGTTAATGTGCCCTCCTGTGCTATACTTCGAGAGAAATTATGCACCGTCGTAGATCAGCTTTCGTATAGTATCAATGAAACAAGTGTAAGAAAGTCCACCTGCGTCCGCACAACCTTTTGTACAATTTTACGTTGAAACTCACTTCACTGAGTCTTCTGAAGATTGTCTAACCTCGGGTTACCTCACTGACTCTAGCTACGTGGGTAAGTACCCTAAACATTTATCAAACTGGTAAGTAACTTGCGCAACCGCATGGGATATGTGACGACGGAATCAGTTGACTCGGGAAACCGATCTACCTCAGCAGTCACGGGGCACTTGCTGACTGGTCACACCAGCTCAATCCTGTTGACTCGTTCACGGTCCTAATGCGTGATCAGCGGCCCTAAATCCTCAGGCTATTAAGAGGCTATCGTTATCGATCACGAACGACCACCGCTTTGCATTCAAAAGCGGCTGACCGTGGCTCTAAGCCCGTGCATTTTGCTATTTGTGATCACCGTCTGTTTATGTTCCAATGTTGCATATGTTTGTGATTGGTAAGAGTGCACGAAATGATGGCGTCATCTCACAATCTCTCTCTCTTCTGAATTTTATGTTCTCAGTTTGAAGCTCCTCAATACATCCAGCAGTAGTGGCGATTTGCCCCATATAATCATGCGGGGCAACTGTTTATAATCTAATGAGTTCGCCCTCCGTTTTACAAGATTCGGTTATTACTCGGCAACAATTAGCCAAAAATTGTACACTTTTACTAATTAACACAACTGAATCTCATCTTCAGATTTAAAAACTTGAAACTTGAAATTATTTTCCGCTCTTACTTTCAACTTGTCATCAACTTTATAGTTACCAGGATCAGTATGCGAATGGGGTATATCCTTTGCAAGCTCTCTTATCTGTTTTGAGGTCATTTTGAAGTACACGTTGTGTGGATGGATTGCAACACGCAATCTCAATGTGGACCGCGATTCCCATTGAAGTGAACCTTGGCCAGTGGATCATGAGGACCCCTTGGCTAAATATATATCGGACCCGGGACCGTCACGCCTAATGACAGCAAACAAGCTCGAAACGCGTAATGGTGTGTAGCGTTTTCGGACGGGAATACCCAATTTCCAACAGCTTTAGCCACGGGTCCTTGTGATCGAATGAACAATGTTCACTTCAATGGGAATCGCGGTGCACATTGAGATTGCGTGTTGCACAACGTGTGCTTCAAAATGACCTCAAAACAGATAAGAGAGCTCTCACTCCTTTCGCATACTGATCCTGGTAACTATAAAGTTGATGACAAGTTGCAAGTAAGAGCGGAAAATAAATTCAAGTTTCAGGTTTTTAATTGTGAAAATGAGAATCATATATATTATACATTTATATATATATTATATATATATATATATATATATATATATAGTCCCATGCTGGGGCTGATGTTGCATTCTTGATGCTTCTTCACCGCAGTTGGGCCAAACCAACTTACACTTAATCTAGGCCTTTTTAAGCTGGATAAATTTCATTCCACTTTATGTGGTTTCTTCTGCCTACCTGAATAATCTTCTATTAACTGGCCACATTGCTTACGCTAATTTCGCTTATCTTCGGTAACTTGTTGCGTTTGTAGCATTTAGTGAATAACTTGTGGACATATTTTCCTTATCGCGGATTCATTGCTATCCAACTTAGTTCATATGTTAATTAAGCGAAGAGATGTCACCGTATCTGTATGCATTATTGGATTTACTTTATTTCATATCGTCGTCTCCAGTGATTGGCTGTTGTTTGACATCCACGGTGTGGCTGCGCTTGATGTGCATGTTGATAAGGTGCCTGCCTGTCTATTATCCACTACCTCCGCCATACTGGCTCCAGAAAATAGTTGGTCGTTGCTGGAGGGGACAGGGTGCACGGTCCTTGTGGGCGTGCTAGGCTCGAAAAGCGGTTCCATGCACACAGTGTGGAGCGGACTACGGTCCAGCCACCACCTTGTGTGCGCTTGATTCCCCGAATGCAGCGTGCTTGCGTTTGCCTGTGAAAGAGTGTGGGCCGGCTCCATTGATGAAACGTGGCTTCCATCCACATGCCGCCCGGTCTTATTCCTTCGGGTTTACACTGGATATGGTGTGTGTGGTTGGAGCTGTGGGTGGTACAGCGCAAGTCACTCATGGTCCCTCTGTAGACGCAGGCGTCCTGTGGCTGGCCACAGTGACAGCAGTGTCGGTATCCGGATCGAAAGGATACGACACACAAAACATTATATATATACATATATATATATATATATATATATATATATATATATATATATATATATAATGTTGCAGTGGGCTGCATGCTTTTGCTGCGACACTTGAGGTGGCTCGGTCCTGTGTGTCGTATGCATTCGACACGGATACCGAAACAGCTACTGTACGGCCAACTGCGTGCAGGGAAGCGACACGTAGGAAAACTGAAGTACCTTACCAGGACATGACCAAAGTGAGCCTATCACGTTCTAATGTTGACTACAGGTCATGGGAATCGAAGGCGGTTGATCGGCGTGCATGGCGCGATCTGATCACGAAGACAGTTGCCGAGGTGCAGGAGAAAGCCATTGTGCATGCAGAGAAAAAGCGGAAATTGCGGAAGCGACAGGCGCCGATGGGTTGTACTCCATCGACAGCGAGCGCATGGTGCTGTAGCACATGCGGTCCCGAGTGCCTGAGTCAGGCAGGCCTAGTGAGCCATGAGCGAGGCCACTCGGGGCCAACACCGGAACGACGACGAGTCCTGCTGAGAACGTAAGCAGAACCGGCGCAGCGTTTATAGGTACGCCGCATTCCATTTACCAACCGCGTGCATGCGTGCTAACTTTCTTTATTTCAGGTCATTGGTTTGCTATATTTTATAAATACTTACTTTTTAAGTCATTTAAATCTCTTCTGAATATGCTTCTTCTTACTTACACATGTCGCTTAAGCAGATTGTGCTTAAACTCATCAACTTTTTCGCGTTTGTGGCGTGTTTTCAATTACATTGGCCGACACAAGAAGGGTTATCCCTTGGGACTAGCTGACCCATTCTCAATAGGCAGCTGGTTTAAACACTTGATCCTTTCTCCGGGATATAGAGAACCCACTCATCGTTCCTAATGGCGCTCTTCTTGCCATTCTGGGTCTAAACAAATGATTTTAGCTCGCCTCGTTCTCACGATATCACAATTTGCTCACCTACAATAATATGTTTACGTGGATCCCCTATTCCACAATGGAAGACTGATGTAAGACTGTCATGACTACTGTTACGATTGCGTAGATGCCTCATAAGATTGTCACTGGCACGGTTGGAGGACGCCTACGGTAATGGATTGGAACATCTATCATCATACTACACGTTAGCTGGAAGTAGGGAACACCTCAGCTACTTGCCGCAACAGGTTGGAACACTGGCCAATCCAACGGATTTGCGCTGACATGATGGCGTTAGCTTAGCCCGGGGTATTCGGATGGACGCTGAGCCCTCGGAACGGACGCACACGAGAGGGGGTTACGGTAGACGCGCGCTGGTGACTTAGACGCGAACGCCGCCCGGCTAACGACGCACACAAAATTTCGTGTCTTCCCAGCGAAGACTAAAAGCTACGGAACTCCAAGCACGTTCATCCACTTTATACATCTCAGTCATGATACAAAACAGTGCAATTAGATTAAAATCCAGCCAAGTGCTCCGTGCTATCGTTTAAAACGTTGTGACGCTCAACAGGCATTATAGCTCAGTTCAGCGTTTGCCGAATTCACAGGAATGCACAGATAACGACCAGCAGCTATTGTCTCTCACCTGTGGAGTTCTTCCCTACCTCCCACAGCAAAACGCCAGCATGTCTTCACATTTTTCTCCACGCAGTTCTTTCACCACTCTTCGATAAAGTAACCATTCGGTTACCATAACTGAGAAGTCAACCAGACCTGAATTGTTAACATGGCTGTATGGATCACTTGGCAAGGGGATGAGCTGCTTGAGGTCGAGCACCCTATTGGCTTTCAGAAACTGTCAGCTAGCTTCTGATGTCAATAACTCCTAGGCGTTTTTGGCAGCTTGGAAAAACCATAGTTGCATGTCAGTTTGAGTTTTGCTAGATGCATCAAAGGTCAGTCCCTGTGACTGGTAATGTTGCAGCCAGTTTTCCTCGGCGGCAGTTTTCAGCGACATGGATAGCTCGGAGAGGTCGTTGTAAATTCTATGGATTACCGGAGGCTATGATTCCCCAGTTTTCAAATGATGGATGCTATTTTTGCCGGCGGTTGCCGTGCAACTCAGTTTTCACTTCGAAGTTTTCTGTATTGCTTTGTTGTTTAGAAGATCCACAAGTACCACATGAGTCTGCACCCATATTGTACAGTTTACAGCATGTCAGGATAATGATGACAATATTTGCTGTAATGTGTGACAGCTTCCAGCCAAGGGTTCCAGCTGGTAATGACCGGCGTAGGTGAGCCGGTCGGGTTATCCAATGGAACAATGTTATATTACGGGCAAAGAAGCAGATACTTAGCAAGTGAATAGAAAACAGTGATAAAATGAAAATGGTTTTTGTGGATTCAGTACAGTGTTAACACAGAGGCATGCAGAAAGGTCCAAACTCAGTCGTGTAGATTAATTCTGATTGTGCAACTTTCGTCGCATTATATCGTCTGTGGAGAC